ATAGTTCAGGGGTTTGCAGATAGCCCTGTATTGTTCGGGAAAAGTAAACATGGTTTTCCAAAAGGAGGAGAACATTTCTATAACATTGAGATTTTTAGTAATCAGGACTATTGATGTCAAATGGCTGTTGGACAAATGACATCATACAAAAATACCAAATTTAAAATTATGTTTGTTTATGTTGTTTGTTTTCAGATTTTTTAGTAGTAAAGGGGCTGTGTTTTCACTCAGGCTTGTATGATGAGGACATTTCTCAGACCAGCAGCCATCTGTGAGCATTCTGTCCTGGACTTTGGGTGCATCTGTGAGAGTAGCTGGGCCTGTCATCCAGTGAATAGCTCAGAGTTGACACTTCTCCATCAGTATATGCCTGGGTGTGGGTGACTGCATGGTAGAAGGGGCTGGGGTAGCCGGGACCAGAGGTTAGTGAACCATTGGGTAAGATGTATAACTGTTACTCAGGCTCACAAGTTTTCAAAATTTTCAGATAATAATAACAAGAAAGTCCATCCTTACCAGGTGTCAGTCTCTGTTTTAAGTGTTATTCATATATTACCTCATTTAATTCTCACACACCGCCTGTGAGAAACTGAGGCTCAGAATGTAAATAGGCTACTGAGGTCACATTGCTGGTGGATCTTACTTGAGCTCAGGCCAGCTTGGCTCCGAAGTGTGTGTTCTCACTCTATTGCCTCTGGAACAGGAAGGACTATATGGTACTGTAAATTGTTAAAGAACAAGTTGAAAGAATTTTATTTCCGGCAACATGGGCTGACAAGGACCAGAAAACAACAAAAACTTCTGGAATACATATCGTGAACCATTTAAAAATGTATCAATGAGCTGCAAAATAAGAGTTCTAAAGGCAAAAAAATCAAAATTAAAAAGTGAAAACTAACCAAGATCTACCATTTGATCCAGCAATCCCACTTCTGGTTATCTACCCAGAGGAAAAGAAATCATTACACGAAAAAGATACTTGCACATCCATGTTTATAGCAGCACAGTTCACAATTGCAAAAATAAGGAACCAGCCCAAATGCTCATCGATCAATGAGTGAATAAAGAAAACGTGAATAAAGATAATTCCACACCATGGAATACTACTTAGCCATAAAAAGGAATGAAATAATGGCATTTGCAGCAATCTAGATGGAATTGGAGACCATAATTCCAAGTGAAATAACTCTGGAATGGAAAACTAAACATCGTATGTTCTTACTCACAAGTGGGAGCTAAGCTATGAGGATGCAAAGGCATAAGAATGATACAATGGACTTTGGACTTGGGGGAAGGGTGGGAGGGGTCGAGGATAAAAGACTACACATTAGGTACAGTGTACACTGCTCTGGTGATGGATGCACAAAAATCTCAGATATTGCCACTAAAACACTTATTCATGTACCAAACACTGCCTGTTCCCCACAAAAACCTATTGAAATAAAGAAGGGTAAAGAGGAATCAGAAAAAGAAATTGAAAAGCAACCAGTAAAGGAGAGTATCATGTTCACAAAGCCAAAGGAAAACATTATTTCAAGAAAATGGTGGCCAACTTTATCAAATGTTGCTGAAAGTTGACTTAAAATGAGACCTGATAATCAGCCATTGGATTTAGTAAAGTGGCTAGCCCTGATGACCTCACAAGAGTCCTTTGAGTGAAGTGATAAGGAGAAAGCTCGACTGAAAGGGATTTCTGAGAGAACAAAGTAGAGGGGTTGAATGCAGTAAGCACAGGCAACAATTTCAAGAAGCTTCACTCAAAAAAGGAATAGAGAAAAGGTAAGTAGTTATAGAGGAAGTAGAGTCAAGATCGCTGTGTTTAATATTTTATAAGATGAGAAAAAATAATAACATGTTTGCATGCCAATAGAAATCATCCATAGAGAGGGCAAAATTGATAATGTAGGAAATATGAGGAGGTATTTCTGGAATAATGTCCTTGGATTGGAAGTTATGAAAAAGAAATAATGACTTCAGATGATAGATCATTCCATTCATCCATAGTAATTGGGATATGAGTATATGAGCACAAATACAAGTAGATGGATAGATGTGTTCATGACAACTCTTAAGTTTGCTTTCATGAAATAAAGGCAACATGGTACTTTTTCTCCACTTAAAAATTTACAATAGTTAATAATGTCATATAGAATTATGTGGAATTCTTAAAATATTCAGTGGTTAAAAGAATATTTACTGAAGCATGTGTTCTGCCACATATTTTTTTAGGCACTGGAGGTGAACCAGAGACAAGGTTCATACTTTTGTAAAGTGAGGACAAACAGATATATATCACAGGGCACACAGCAAAGCCAGCTTTCATAGGGAAGTGAGGAGTCAAGTTCAGAGAGAGCAGGCCCCTGGTCCACCATTCTCTCAATAGCTACAGAATTGGGGTTGTAGGAGGGATTGTTTGAGGTCTTCTAACGACTA